GATGTTAGCCGACGACTTGACAATAGTAACAGAGGCCACCCAAATAATATGGCAGAAATCCAAACCCTGATGACACGTTTCACCCGGATGTCAAGCATGACCGTCAATTGAGGTAGCAAGACGCAGGGATGGTGGATCCATTATTATGGGGTTCACTCCTCGGAACAGCCCAAAGTGGATTGGAGACCTCTAGAGGAACATATTCACTTGCTGGGGGGTGGCACTATCAGTGCAGGGACCACCAAAAAGGAATGATGAATGGATCACTAGAACAACATTAAAGAAAATGGAAAAGTGAAAAAACAAAAACACGTCCATTTTTTTTAGGGCACTAATTATTAATAATGAGGTGTTGGAAGCTATCTGGTATAAGTCGGTCCTCTGGTACATTGGTAAGAGTAATGCCAAAACCCTCGAAAAGCAACTCGCGGCCTTCCTCTGGGGCGGGGACTCGGACCAGCAACACGCGATAAGCCAAGTGGCTTGGGACATATTGATCCAGCCTAAAACGAAGGGAGGAATGAGACTGTTGGATCCCTCTCTGCAAGCTACGGCACTGTCAATCCAATGGGTAAAAAGACTCATTCTGGGTATAGCCCCCCCATGGTGGAATTTGGTCAGTGAACAGATCCGTAGGCTGGCCCCAAGAGCCGCCTCAAGAGTAGAGTCGCTGACCTGGATTGAGGATCGGTATTGGTCCATCCCCCGAGCCAATTCACACTCACGAGAGGAAGGAGATAGAGGAGCAGCAAGAGAAGATCTAGCAAAGGACAAATTTTGGGTCAACCTTATCAAAAATTGGAGAAGGTTGTCGATCCCAGACAAGCCCCCCCTAGAACGGATGAAAGAAGTCCTGCGTCGGCCTCTGTTTGGGAACTGAGACATTACAGATAGACAAGGCCGGTGTTTTTGCAGCTCGGACCCCCAGTGGGCTACGTGGGTTAGAAATGAAATTCTCCGAGTAGGGGATATATGAGATGAGGCAACCAAAGATTGAAAAACAGTCCAAAAACAAAAACCTTCAGTATGACTCGCTTGCAATCTACCAACAGATTGAAACAACTGATATTCTCCATACCCTTAGCATAGGTGGTGATCCTCAGAAAAGGTAAGTCCTTGCAGGAATAGGATTGGGTGGCCGTCGTGGCAGAGGATTTCCCTCTGCAAATAAGGTGTGTGGTAGAGGTGAGAATTGAAAGAGCTATGGTGAAAAAAGAAAAAGGGGTGACACCCTGGTGAGGTACCGCCCAGACTCAGTTCAGTGGCATGAGAAAGCCAACCTATATCGGATCCGGGTAATGTAGATTCACAAGGGAGGTACGACAAAATGACAGGCTCATCACCCAGAAGTTTCCCTGTCCACTTTAGCCCTGGATCCGCTAGAATGGCAATGGGTGAAAGGTCGGACCGGGAAAAAAGTCAAACTCACCGGGCTGACGGTAAAGAACACTTACAGGATGATTAGACTCAAGGGAGATGTGCAAGCAGTAGTAAGGGAGAGATGGAAGAGACACTTAAGCCTGGGTGATGATCAGATAAAAGGGATAAAGTGGTTTAAAAGAGTAAAGGAGAGACCGACTAAATTCGCCACCCTGCAGTGGCAGATTTCTCATCAATGCCTCCCCACCAACAACTTGACTATAGACAAAACCAATCTGAAACAGAAAGGGAATGTTATCCCATAGTGTAAACTTTGCTATGCATGATTCCCGAGCCGCAAAATATGTGAAACAATAGAACACATTTTCCTCCAGGGCCAAGGGTCGATACTAATGTCTCGTTGGCGAGACCAGATTTGGTCCCAACTGGATACTGAGGAGGAGTGGTCATGGAAATGGGAAACAATCCTACTAGGAGTATGAGAAAGGCCGCTTGCTTCCAGCTTCACCAACAACCTATTCGTCACGGCCAAGAAGGAGGTGATATGGACATTGTGGATAAGAAAATGTGTGTTTGGTCAAGAAGGGGTCAAGATGGGGGAAGGGGAAGCAGCAGAAATAGTCAGACAGTTCATAGAAACTGAAATAAGAGTGCAATGGAAAAAAGTACTGGAAAAAAACAGGAAAAAATAACACATTTGACACAGAAAGCGGACATTATAAGAGAAATCAGTAACTTCTGTGCAGATTGGTTGGGACTGGAAAGGGGAGGCAGGATGACACTCATCGTTTCTCTTGGGGAAAGAGGAAACGAAAGGGGCGGCAATGAATTCACCAAGGACTGCAAACTCGAGTTCCGCAAATGGTTTAAGTCAATCATGGCATTCCAATGAAGAGTCCAAGGGAATCTCCAGTTATGTTCCCCCCGGCAGCCACAACTATCGTAGAAATGCAATGGTTTGGGCAGGAGTAAGGAGAGAGCAATATAGTATTTTGCTTAAGGGGCACTACGTTTCCAAGCTTGATCAGGTGCCCTCCAGTGGGTGGAAGAGGTACCCTTAGGCAGACTATCGTCATATGGGTACATGCTTATCAAGAAACAAGCTCAATGCAAAGGGACGTTGGGACCGGTTTCCAGCAGATGAAGCTCCCCACCAATACATGGAAGCTCCTGGGGAAGTGCTAGAGGGGTTTGCTCTTATCATCTTCTCTAGCATCAACCCATGGTGTAAAAAAAAAAAAAAAAGTGATCATTGAGGTAAATGGGCATAAGTTAAATTTCATTTGGACTCTGTCGAATGGACAACGTTATTCCTTCATTTACCTGCAAAATATTTTGGACATATTAAATTTACTATTTATTTTCTTGAGCTTATTATTGATTCATAAAATTTGATATTTGTTTCTGATTGGAGCATTATTATGAATCAGGGCCTAGACTCATAATGTCAATTATCCATAAGATCATATACAAAATTAGTGCATTAATTAATTACCATGTTCAATGCAGTAGACTCTTATAGAATGTTGGGTCTTAACCAATATAGACTACGTGTGATTTGATTGTGCATGTCAGGTTCACGTAGATGCCTTAATTATTTCTTCACCAAAAACACTCATTTGGAACGGTGTGTGAGATATGAAGAGGTAATTTCTCCGGTTTCTGACTAGTCATTATGTATACCGGAAGTCGGTGTGAATACCCTTACAAGGGTATCTACCCATGTTTTTATAAGGGACGAAAAATTGAATTTGATTTGAACATTAAAAGCGTTAATTGAGTTGCAATTTTTCTTCTCGGCGACCGATATAGCGTGTATGTGAGGGATAAAAACGACATGTGAAAACTGCTGACAAAATTGTTGGGATCAAGTATGTTGTCAAATTGAAGTGATTGAACATAATTATTGTATTTGTTTGTTAATTCATAAGTATGTTGTATTTTGATTTATAATTTGAGTTGCTTTGTAAGTGGTTTGATGTGATCAAGACTAAGCCCCTACCAGTTTGGTTTTTAAAGTTTGCAACTTCATTGCTTTAGTTGGTAACATGAAGTATACACATAGCATGAGCGTATAGAAGTCAGACAAATTTGTCATGTCATTGCATAAGTTTGGATCCTTTGATTGAAGTTTCGAATACCAGTTACATTGATTCGAACTGTTGACTTGAATATTTATGGCTCAATGACAATGTTTCAGATATAGACCCAGGATATGAGGGTTTGAACCCTTGACTGAAAGTTTGAGATTAGGCATGTCACGTCAAGGTTTGTTTCATAATTGACTTCATATTTAGTTTGACGTAGCACAAACTTTTTATTATGGTTGGACGTCAGATTTACTATTTTTATTGCTTGCAATAAGCACGACTGATTCAAATGTAAGCTTGGTGAAAAGGATATGTGAGGTTTGATGATGATAATCATATTGTTAAGAGTTTGCTCAATGAAGTGGTTGTTGTTGGATCTCACGAGTTTCGAGCGATCGTTTTTTGTTGAATTCATTTTTTTTTTAACGATGAACAAATTGAACTTCGTGTTTCGATCGTTGTTTGTTTGTGGGAATTATCACATCACTTCTTGTGAATATCATCTATTGCTTTAAACCCCAACTCTCCCATCTTAAACCATCAAAATGTTTCACAATCAAATTATATCGATATTGTTGCATATGTGTCACGTCCTAACTTTGTCAAGGTCGCTTCCGTAGACCCTCGCTTAATTTACCCTTAGACCCTGTCGTTAGCACCCTTAACGAGATATCGGATGTTTTACACTTATGTGTAACATTTTGTTGTCCTATTGCGTACATAGAAGATACAAAAAAAATTAGAGGAAAAAAAAAAATTATGAACAAAGACGAAAAAAAAATTATTAGTTGCACCGTCCATGCAATTCCCGCCCACGTTTTTCAATTTTCATGTCGTACAATACTCGAAAATTTGCATGACCAATGCTAAACGAAAAAAAAATAAAAAAATAAAAAAAAGAGAGAAAGAGAGAAAAAATAAATAAATAAATTGCGAGAGAGACACGGATTTCAACAATTTTTGTCATCACCACTTTTTTTACCGGGGTATTTGATCATAACATAAGACTTGATATTCAGCGGAGTAAGGACAATCACTCTTTTTTTGATTTATGTCGATTGCAAATCACAAACTATACAAGACAGGTGAAAGAGGTTTTTAAGAAAGGAGGGCAAATATGGAACTATAGACCCAAATACATTATTGGTTTACCTATGCTATTTGTTTTTGTATGCACTAATAACGTGTCTTATTGGGTATATATTATACAAATGACACTAGAGTTCGAGTCACCAAAAAAATTTGAGATTTAGATGCTTTGTTGAAGACGAGTGCAAGAGGGTTAAAAAATGTTATCTTTACATCACACTATATCCCTAACATCTAGAGGATTTTTTTTTGATAGTTGGGACGTTACTTTAAACATTTTATAATAGACTATTAAAATATGGTTTTTCATATCAACTGTATTTTTTTTCCGTTTTTTAAAGGAGTGGAACTCTTATTTCTTTTGTGAAGAATGTCATGGGGAAGGGGAAGTGGTTGTATGGAACATGAAGGGAAAAAAAAAAAAAAATTGTTCTTGTATACCTGACTAGTGAAGGACACCTTCGATGCGATGTTAGTCCGTAATAACCAACCATTCGCATCACCAAAGTAGTACAGCCATGGCAATGTTTCAACCCTGCAATTTCAAAGCTCACATAAAACCACAAACCATTATCAAAGTATCATAAGTCCACATTTAAAATAATAAAATTTAAATTAAATTAAGTTTTTATTTATTATAACATCATAAATTTGAGTGCAAAATTTACTTCTTTGTTTTGTAGGAAACTATGTATGTTAAAAAAAAGAAAAAAACATGATTCTTATTTTTGCAAATTGCATTTTTTGTTCTAAGGAATAAAGTAAGTACGTGTTTTATTTAGAGAAAACCACAACCATGCATAAGAATGTAATTTATAAAAACAATTAAAAAAATAGTCAACACATTTGTTTGCACATTAAGGTGGAGGTCGAACTCTCCCTCTTTTTTTTTACCTCTTTTTTTATCTCTTTTTTTTATCTCTTTCTTCTTTTGTTTGCATATGAAGGTGGAGGTTAAGCTTTCTCTCTCTACCATTATTTACCATACGCAAAGTGTAATTTTGACTATTGCTAGTGGAACAATATAACTGAATTGTCATCTCAAGCGCGATGTAACTGTATCCGGCGATCATTTCGAGCTTCATTTTGAGTACGAGTCCCGTTAAATACTCCTCAAAAATGTGATTTTTATGATTTCGGTATCGTTAGGCTATTCCTAAAAACCAACTCCCTCACAAATATGTGAAAACACTTTAAGGACTATTCCTAAAAAAATTAGGATTCCTCAACAAAATCGTATTGATTTTCGTGGAACCTCCTAAGATTATTGAAATGGCAAGGACCGTGTTTCACAGAGTGGAGGTTATACACCGAATCTGGATCGTGGCGGTGCCCTGTTGGTGAAAGCATAAAACATATTTTTTTTTATTTTTAATATATTCATTCAAAATCATTATACAAACGGATGGAAAATCCTAAATTTTTCTAATGACTAGGATCATTCAGGAGGGTTTAATAAGAAGATCCTATGTCTCTATTTGGATGATTTTGTTGGACGATCATTCTTACCACGCCTTTATGAAATTATTATTTCAATCTGTAAATATGTGCATGACTCTATCAAATGGTCATTTGTTCGTACAATTTGAGTATGCTTGTATAAAAAAAATCATTATCGACAAATTTGAGAGCATGTTTGTATCAGAATGATTGAATAAAACAATGATTTTGAGCAGAATTTGAACAAAAATGAATAGGACGTGGGTTTGAGAAAACTCTATAAAATGACAGTTTTTTATAATAATATTTTTCCTTTATTTTCTTCTTAGAACAGTTTGAGCACTATTGTATTGGTTAAGTCATTCCAGTGAGGGAGGAAGGTTTGTGAATTCTAACATATGGTGTCTGCGTTAACCTTTATCGAGCGCATCGGCTCCCTCCTTTCTTGCAAAAGGTGAGGGTCTTCCTGACCATGTCACGCATGAGTTAAAAAAAACAAGAGACGACTTAGAGACGGCTCGAAGGTAATCCCACAAACCATCAAGATGGACGTGGTTGCATTGTCTCTTCGCCGCTCTAGTACCTTTCACAGTCCCCTACGACATGATAGGTTCCCACGAGGCACAACCTATCTTCCTAAGGGGTTTTCACCACCCTTACGGGCGTGTCCCCACAGAGCTACTGACCCATGTGAGAATTTTTTATACCCAAACGCAGAGGTAGGTAAGCCAAGGACGATGACGTTTGTTTGTTCGCTGTAGTATAGGTACGCTTGGTTCAGACGTCATCTGAACCCAGACGTCATTTGTTCCCTAGGGCGTTGATCTGCTAGGCATGAAACGAACGTCGGTCGACTAGAACTGTCTCAACCAAGCGTAAAACCCATAATTCAACCCTAATCCCTTAAACACTAACAAAAAAAAAGTGATAATAACCGCACTCAATTGCATAAAAATGAATTGATCGTAGTTGATAAGTCTGTATATACGATTCAACATAAGTTGAAATGATAAATGAAAGAACCTAAGCACCACATGGCACAACTAATAACATAAGATCAAAATAAAAACCGAACCGCCTCCGGTCGAACGCAATGAACAAAAAAATTCATATTGAGCGGCCAACTAAAAGTTAGCTTCAACAATCGATGAAGCCGATAAGGTAGTCAGACTGCCCCAGTTTTGACTTGATGAGACATGCTGCCAAACTCATCCATTCCCCCCCTTTCATTGGCCTAAAATCAGACACGCACAAACCATTGCACTGGATGGTCCCGATTACAAGAACCGCTCACTTAATGTGTTCCAAAAAACAATAAAGGCGGTATGGAATGTCGAAACCGCAAATGTTGTAAATCCCAATGGTCAATATGTCGCCTACTGGCATTCCAACTAGTCCTGCTAGCCCGCATACTACGTCACGTGGCCCTCAAAAAAATAAATAGCCTGGCACGTGCATCCCATCTGATTCACGAGTGTCACACAACACAATTCACCACACCAACCACCAAGCACGTCCCAAGGTTGTCGATCGCACCCTGCCGCACTGCTTAAAAAAAAACATAATGCCACACAGCATAGTCGAACACCAACCTTGGAGCCAAGTCCCAAGCGCGCACCATAGCCGGTACCACCACAACCCCTTGCTCAAAACTGCAAATACCGCATCGTCAAACCAACGACACGTTTCCTTAAAAAAAATATATGCTCTCTACCGTCAAACGGTCATCATTCTCCCATCGAAAAACGTTATAGCCCCCTCCTTTTAGAATTTAGTACCGCCAACGTTCCAAGATTTCGGCAGCATAACCCTACCGTAAATAATGATCGTCGCCGCACAAAAATATCTGCGACATAAACCCCTTAAGAGGAAATATCGGTCTGCCAAACTTTGGGCAGCATCACCCCCTTCAATCGGTTGCGTCGATGCCCAAAAAAATCGGCAGCATCTCCCCCGAACGTCTCGGATGCGGACTATGGCTATGACTGGTCGTTATAGATGTAGTCACCGAACTCCACCTTCACCCTTCGCGCAGACCTCCATCGTCTCCAACCGATCCAATTCGAGCCCAGTAGTAAGGCAAAAACTCTTTAGCCTTAGCTAAGGTTGGCATGTTCCTCCTTCAACGGCTCCTCCTTTAACCTTGCAGACCACTTACAGTTTCACCAGTAGCTCCTCTCTCAACGTTGTAGACCTTCAATACTCATTTTCGTCGTCTCATCACTGCCTCGAACTCCTAGAGGCCAAGTACCACACCTCAAGGCTCATCGTATGCCCATAGCCTGTGCTATGTCAAGCCACGGCTTCAGTGTGCCTTGCTTAAGTTCAACCCCTTCTAATATAGCCATGAACTTGGGTGCCCCCACGTCATTTCAGTTATGGGTTCGACCCAACTCAGTTTCAGTTGCCAAGTCTCGAATTCATTGTTAGGCTACCACTTGTCACTTTCCCCTTCATTCTCTGCTGAAATCACGGAGCAAATGTTGTTGCCTCATGTTGCGACCCATAACTTTTATACCCAAATCTGATCTGCCTCGTTCGGCATATATACACCTTCCTCTGCAGTCCATCCATCCCACGATGAGGGCCCCAAGATGTCCCATCTGGCTTTGGAACCAAGGTTTTAGAGCAGCCTCTTATTAAAAGTGGAGGCTGACTCAACCTCTAGAGGTTTGCCCTAAGAAAGCATCCCTTCGGGGCTCAATCTAACGAGGATAAATCAAACCCGCAACTATCTGAGAGTTTGAGGGCATTAAAACGAGGGACTTCATTCATTAAAGTCTCAATCTGTTGCTTGCAGGCAATAGGTTAGCCCTTAAAAAAGGTTGAGTTGCACCGTCTTGCCGTGATTATGGGTTGAAGAATTCTCACCCATGGCCTTTCTCCGCGTTTTGATTTTTGTTAAATCTCTCCAACATTAAAAATGGGCAGCCAAATGGCTGCAACTAAGTCCTGAAAAACCATTGGCTGCCTAATTTCTCTATGGCGCTCGTTCTGAGGAGTGTCAACTCAGTGTCAAGGTTGAGGGGGAAGAACAACTCACGATCAAGGTAACCGGCGTTCGGGACGGGCCGAATGCCCGAACCCGAACGTCCGAATGTAAGGGACCCCTTGCGGATGTGTTCAGCCATTTGGGCCGAACGTGGACAAAAATGGAAAAAAACAATTCGAACAAATCTTAAAAAAATATATGTTATGAAAAAAAATGAAATAAACAAACTTTGCCTAAGTTGTACATTCAAATTCCGTACCAAATTTAAAATAAAAATAAAATACGGAAATTAAAACTAGTAATAGAAATTAAAAAAAAAAAAAAAAAAAATTAAAATTAATGAGTGAGCAAGCACATTTTCGACATCGCCATCTTTGGCGAGTTTTTTTTTTTTTTTGCATAGCCAAATGCCCCGAAAATTTACGAATGTTTACTTCACATAATTAAAAAATTATTAAAAAAGTTTCAAAAAATAATAAAATTATTTAGGCCCCTCATTAAAGTGAAAATGAAAAGTAAGATGGAAAAAAAAAAAAAAAAATAGTGAGAGGGCGAGCACATTTTGACACTGTCATCTTTGGTGATTTTTAATGTCTTTCTAGATTAGCAAAATGACTTAAAAATTTATAGTCATATACCTCACATCATATAGAACTCACAAAAAAAACTTCAGAAAAAATATATATATTTTTAGACCCCGAAATATTTTTTTTGCGGAGTTCAAACCCCTTTTTCCTTTTTTTTTTTCCATTGGCGTAAAAGTGTTGTCGAGCGCATCGGTCCTGCACCACGCCGGGGCGGACCCTCCCGGCCGCGTCACGCAGGAGTTGGTCTCATCCTCGTCGCGATATACATGGAGCTTCCGCAAGCCGCTCCAGCCGAGTGCGTCAGCCATACCTCTCGAGAGCCCCTACGACAGGATAGGGTCAACGTGAGGTACAACTTACCTCCACCTTACGGGAGTCGTCACCTCCCTTCAGTGGACGTATCCCCATCGAGCTACCAGTCCACAGTACGAAAGCTAATAAGTTGCAGTCGCAGAGGTGGATCAGTTGAGGGTGTTTCTCATTCCCTGCAGCATAGGGGGTGCGCGCGGTCTCACACCTCTATCAGACCCGCACGCGAACTTACGCACTGGGGGGCTGAAGTCCCAAGCGCGACTCGTCGTCGGTCAACTAGGACGCATCCCACTTACCACGTGTTACACCACAACACTCACACATACAGAACGACACTGAACAAACAACTCAACAACACTCCTAGTCTCTTGTTTATCCATCTCATAACCTTCCGACGTGGAAAATCGGATAGGCGACGCGCGCGAGACTTAGTATAAAAACGGCGCGGACGCAAGGTCTTACCATATCGACTAGCAATGCATGAATACGCAAGAAGTCACAATGGTGGCGTACTATGTGGTGCCCATAATCAGGCGGTCCCTCGTGGATCCGAGTACAGCTAATGATACTCAAGTGTCAGTCTCGAAGTATTATGAAGGTCGAGCCCTTCACGATATTGGACGGCTGAAGGAACAGTCGTGCAGCCCCCGAGGTCTATCCGATCTTTAGGCTGCGTGTCCTGGTGGGCAGGGAAAATAGGCTCTGCGAGGAGGGTGATCTCTTCCACTCGGAGTCTAGGATCTGGGATGTCCTGGACAAGGACCTCGAATCCAGACCCAGGACCAACGTCCGACTAATAATTTTTTTAAGACGCAAAGTAGTAAAGGAATGAATTTTTCTTTATACTTTCAATCTCTACCCTAGTTTAAACCCATAGGCGTGGGCTTTGTAGGTCGTATAAAACGTCCAAACATAGGTGTATATATATATATATATATATATATATATATATATATATATATATATATAGCGGAATAAATATGTGACGATCACTTCTCACAATCACAGTAAGACTCCTCTCAGCCATACATATGTATGTGATCACAGGCAGTCAAATCCAAAGTTTGAATCACAAAACGTACCTACAATCACATCAAAGAATCAACCAAAAGTCCTCACACTACACGGGGTCAACTTCAACCATTCTCTATACTCATACCCCTTGCTTTAGTCATGCAAACCCCAACCTTTGCCCAACCTTCCAAAAATAAATATTGAGCACTTTCGTTAAAAGACCATTCAATAAAAGTTCGGGTAAAAACCTTAATAAAACAATAGAAACTACAAGGGCTAAAGACTTTTAGGTTGGGTAATGAGAATGAATCGGAGTTGAGTCGTAGACCGATGAATCGACAACCGACCTGTTATCAGTGATAACAGAAAATGATCCTTGTAGGATCAAGCTGAATCTAGCACAAATCCTGAATCAAACGATCAAGAGGACCTATAATACAAGACAGGTCGATCCCCGAGCTAAACCTATAAGTCCGTGGAGAACAGTTTTCATATCACGATCACTAAAAAATCATTCTTAATTAACCAAGTCTAAATATATCCTTAAGCAGATACCTAAAGAAAAGGTAGATCCTAGTCGGATCTCCTTTATACAGAGTGGATCTTCAGAATCGCCACCTGTCCAATTATAATTTAACTTCACTAAACTAAATAAATTTCGGCAGCGCTTCCCATAGGAAAAGTGTCTTTTCGGAATTTATACTAGCCCAAAATATGAAAACTGAAATAACCTTGAACTTTAGAAAGTCAATTTTTGTCTAACTCCCTGATTTAGTAAAAATTTGGGCAGCATCTCCTTTATAAAAGTAGACTTCCTAGATTTATACTAGGTCAGATCAGAACTCAAGATAAACTTGAGTTCAACCATGACAAAATTTAACTAACTTTTTTGTTCTGTAGAAATTTCGGCAGCGCATCCCAGAGAGAAAGTAACTTTCCAAAATTTATACATAGCTAAGTTCAAATCTAGAAATAACTTTGACTTCCAAAAGTTCAATTTTGTCTAGCTCCCTGGTTTAGCAAAAATTTGGGCAACACTCCCTTTAGAAAATGAGACTTTCCAGATTTTTACTAAATCATTCATAAATTTTAAACAAGTTGAACTTTGATAAGTCAAATATGACTAACTCCTTGGTTTTGTAGAAATTTCGGCAGCGCTTCCCATAGAAAAAATAACTTACCAAGATTTATACAAATTCAAGTATAAAAAATCATCAAAAAAAATGCGAAAATTTACCTAAGTAAAATGAATTTAGCTCATAAAATGCATGAATTGAAACTAACTCTTATGGCTCTAGCGCGTGGCCAGCTTCTAAAGCGACTACCTATCAAACTGAAACTCAAACTAAGTAGTAATCTCACTCTGCCATATGCAAGGCCAAACCACAAAGGTAAGTACTATCACCAACTCAAAATTAATCTTGTCAAACAATAGTTTGTAGCCTTTCAATGGTTTATCCCTTTATACCCAGCTTACATAAGGCGTTAAGTTAGACCACCCAATTTAATGAGAACCTGTCTAGCTCAGTCATTAGATATACACAAACACAGGGCACTACAATTTTTCTCTTCTTTAGGCATATGACTAGGCTATCCAACCTAGTCGCCCTGAACTGTTTAAGTATCCAAGCTATATATAACTGTCTGCACTTAATCTTTTAAAGTAACATATGACTAAACCGATCATCTTAGATCAAGGTTCAACCTGACCCTTCTTACCACAAATTTACTATTGATTGATACTATT